AAGAATTTGACAGTAGAAATAAGAAACGTTCAAAATACAAATTAGGGGTTTTGCCTTGGAAAATTGGACCCTTCTCCCACTTGTAGTTTGGAGGGTTTCAAAAACGTGCAGAGGCTTTGTTTTTTCTCTCGTATAAATTTACGGTCACGTTTGGTTGGATATAGTTATATATCATTCGGTTGATTCAACTACGAAAACAAAATAAGATTTTGTATCCTTCCCTCAGTCGTTTCCAAAGTCTTAATTTGCTAGTGATGGGAAAAGGCTAAAATTGACTTATCAAATTCTTAATTTGCCCCTGCCTCCATGGTCACTTCTGTTTCTCCCTATTAACCACTACACTTCTTTGCTTGTTTTTAAAGCAATGTTTAGAGTTCTCTTAATGCGACAATCTACTTAAGCAGGTTAGCTATTCTGGGTTTTCTCTCTTCTCTGTTTACAATTGCTGCATTCCATCTCATTTTCTTCTTGTCATAGCAAGATAACTATTGGAGGCAAGTTGATAACTATTCAATAAAATAAAACAAAAACTCCTCAATTAACACTGTTTTAAAAAGCAACGACGCGGTATAAACAACTTGGAAAGAATCTTAATCAAGTGGTCCTTACTCCTTAATTAATGTTAGTTAAAAGAATCCCACAACCTTTCACTACTTAAGTTGTTTCTATCTTTAGTTACTTGTATAGCAAGATGATCATTGGTTACTCAGAAATTAAGTTATAGGCTTAGTTGATGATTCCTTTGGAAACTGTACGAAATGCTGTGAAGGATACCGCTTGGAATTTAACGATTAAAGGGCGTTTTAAATGTCTATGGCCAATAAAAGGGGAAATGTTTGCAATGTGGGGATTTAGCTATGGCTAGAACTAGGAAGACTCTTGTTAACATAGTTTTGGTTTAGGGTTTTGGTTTGAGAAAAGTACTTGTCAGTTCAAATATCGAAAAAATTAAAAGAAAAAAAAGATCACAAAATAATGTTATTTTAATAAATTTTTATAGAAAAAAATTAAAATAATATTTTTTAAAGTAAAAATGAGAATATTTATCCCTTTTTTTTATTAACAATATATTTAGTAATAAACATGAATAATAATGCGATACTTTATTGATCAAAATATTTTGGTCTTTTTATGTGATACTTTATTGAAATAATGTTATTTTGAAGTTTTTCTCCTCTCTTTCTTTTTTAGAGACC